GTGGTATTTTTTGGTCATGTAATTTGTTCACCGAGAAATTTGTAGATCCAATAGATCATGATGAACTCGTCCCTTCTGTGCAAACGTTTTCAAAAAAGAATTAAAACAAAGAAAATACCATATGGTATGCAGTTGGTATCAAGAGGCCAGAATTTTTTTTCTCAAAAAATATTGAAAATTGATCTCATTTTGTAGAGGAAGCCGAACTCGTTCCATCTGTGCAAAAAAAATTAAAATCTGAGTTAAAACGAAAAAAATATGAGCCGATTAAAAAAGCTAGAGAAAATAAAAATGGTCTTTAATTCTCCATCCTTAGATCTGGATTTTCTAAATGAAGGATCCAGATTTGGTTATTGATGGGTGCACAACCCATGGTTATGCACCCCATCTTGAGCCGCCTGCAAGATAGATACGATAAACGTGAGGCCCAACATTATATATGTTATTGGTTACTTGACCGATCTGCTAGTTGTCTTAGTTTGAAGCATTTCGATGTTAATGGAAGGGCAAGGTAGACCTTAAGAGAACAGCAAACCTTGATATATGTCATCACCAGTTTTCTGCTGTGTTGGAAGGATAAAATGATGCGGATTGGAATACCCTATCAAATTACTCCAAGGCACCTAGGGTATTGATTTAACATTGCTAGATGAGTTATATCTTAAAAGTCTAAAAGCAAACAATTCTGACTCAAACTAACAATGGTTAGTAAAGAAATGAGGTCGTTGAGTAAGTTTGCTTACAGAGACTCCCTTATGGGAAAGATCGTGTTCGGCTGTATCGATTCATTGCGATGACAATTGCTAAAGAGAATTGATGCTACAAACGGTAAGAGATGAAAAGTTTGCTATAAGCACAATAGTGAAACAGAGTCCTTAACTGTTATAATATTAAGGATGGATCACTTAAGATTCAAAGAGAATCAAGATGATGCTTTGACGAAAGGACTAGCTAGATATAGAAAGTCTAAATACCGCTAAGGAGTATGTGACTTATGCTTATAGAACTGTTGATGTGACTTGAAGCGAACTATCTGGCTACGACTGGATGTCACGAGGGTCTCTCTGCCCGGTCAACGAGTGGTGCCAGGGGTCTGGTTGTAACCGTTTTCTTTTACCATATTGGATTAGGGTTAGACCACAAGTAGAAGTACTATAAATACTTCTCATACTCTTATGCAGAGTAGTCAAAATCCCGATTTAAATCCTAAAATCCTACGCTTTTACGATTTTACTTACCTATCTATATTCTGATTTCACTATAAAATCTATGGACCTTAAAATCCTACATTATTCACGATTTAAATCCTTAAAATCTTATGATTTTACGATTCAAATTTTTCTTCTCCTCAGCCAACGTCATCTATTTCTCTCACACTAACCACCATCGATTATAATCAATTCACATCAATGTATTAACCATCATCGATTCACCACCTATTAACATTAACCTTGATAAACTAGAACAATAACCTTGAAAAATTATCATTGTAAGTGTTATGTGCGTTTGTGTTATTCATGATTTTTCTTACTAATATTATTCCGTCTTCATTTTTATGTGGACCTTAAAGTCTTACGATTTTACGATTCCAATTTTACCCCCATTTTCTATTATACGTAAAATCCTGATTTTGACTGTTTTGCTCCTATGTAATTTGTATCTCCTCAAAGTATAGTGAAAATGACTCTCTTGTGCCCTTGGACTAGCCACACATCGTGTTAGTGAACCACGTAAATCTATGTGTCGTGTTCGTTCTTGCTTTCTTTATTTCTTGCCTTGTCGTCTCTCCTATTTCCCAATCCGCAGAGAAACAATCGTGACAAGAACCATAGATTACAAATCATGGTAACCCTACCTAATTGGCCAGAGATCCCAAGAAATGGGTTCAATGGGTAGTAACAGTCGTGTGTAATATGAGAAAGATCATGCATAGTTAAGCATGAATTCCAAAACTTATAGAGGTTGAGGTAATAATAACTCTTAATAAGATCTATACTCCATGTGTAGTGAAGTACATTGCTTTGAGGGTACTTCTGATAGACTCACCAATGTGAATCTGCGATTAAGGTCCTTCCTATGGAATTTGGCGAGACACGAAATTGCTAGAGTGTTCACTATACAAGGATAACATGCAAGGGCATAAATTAACGGGTTGTTAGAGAATAACACTTAAAGAAAATATATGGCGTGCTACACTATCTGAGATAGAGTTCAATAATACTAGTCACTCTTGTTGAATCATAAGTGTGGCCATTATGCTAAGGTTCAAATCGAAAGATACCTTAGTTTATGTGTGATCTTATACGACTGTAGATGCTTAGAGATAGTTTAAAACTATTCAAGTGGGGGATTGTTGTGATGGATAGCTTTGAAAGCTATAAATGAAAGTTTGAATGAATTATTCAATATCCTTTTCAGATACGAAAATAAGAAAGAAAATTAATAAATGGAATATTCGAGAGATAATCTAGGTTAATTATTTCACACAATGCATTTTAATTATGAGAGTAATTATCTTTTTAATTAAAAGCGACTTATTCCCCATTGAAGATGAAATATTATGGGTTCTCTGCTCCTATAAATAGAGCACTCCCAAGTAGGGGTGGAAATCGGTACGGTATCGGTATCCCAATACCAAATACCGAAATCCCGCATACCAAATTACACCCTAAAGTCAATCCCAATCTCAATCCCTAAATAATTTCGGTATCCCAATCCCAATTCCTAAATATTTCGGTATCCCAATCGGTACTTCGGTATCCCAATCGGTATTATTGAATACGAAATTAATTACCTTTGTAATTAATAATTAAATACATAAATGAGATTTTATTGTTTAGTTTAGGGGGAAAGGACTAAGCAAAGAGTCTTGAATTAGGATATTATTAAGGAGAATGTAGTAGAGGAGACATCTCAAGTTCTTGTCATTGATAATCTTTAATTTGACGATTGGAGGTTGAGAGACGACTATTAATAGTGATGGAATGATCTGTGTATAATTAAATGACACTCTTGGTGGTTGAGGCCATGTAGTAGTGAACGAGAGAGTCTAGTTGAGAGGATAAAATACGCATTAGCTTATATTTTGGTATTGATCGGTATTTCGGTATACCAATCCCAATCCCGTAATCCCTAATACCGAATAACAATTGAAATTCAATCCCAATCCCCAAAAATAATACGTGTATTCGGTAATACCAAATATAGACAAATTCGGTACGGTATTCAGTATATCCCAAATACTAGTACCAAACTTCCAGCCCTACTCCCAAGACCCTCTCAACACACGATTCATAGAGCATAAATACGAGAGGGTAAGATTCAGAGAGCTGCGGTTTCACACAAGCCAAGAGTAAGCAAGATGAGATGTTTTATCCTGTAGGCGACCGACTGATAGTCTGTAATGCATATTACGAAGCAATGCCACAAACTTTTTTAAGAGAACGACCTAATCTACGATTCAATCAGATCGATAATACTGTTTTTTTTTAAAGAGAAACCTCTTGCATAATGAAGATGAGAGATATTTTTATCTCCCCGCCAAAGTTTTTGCCCAAAGAAATACATTGATTCATGATAGGCAAGGTATATGAAAAAAGCACCGCACACTATTCTTCCGATTGGGACACCACAACTCAGACTACTGCCTATGAGCTCTGCAGTATGCATATACGTGGTTGTCTATGATCACCCCCAAAGGCAAAAATAAAAAATGGAAGAAAAGGTCTTAAACACAACAAAAATCAAAAGGGAGAGGAAGAATATAATATACAGGGTGAGAAGAAGAAGAAGATGGTAGGTAAAGCAAAGTGAGCAACATAAAAGGGAATAAAAGTCATGAGCTATTTGGGGTTGGGGTAGGAACTTTAAGGACCATTTCTAAATATTTCCAAATCGATGAAAGCTTAAAAAAGGGTTTCACTTTTGTTTTGGACCAATAGTAAGAGAGGTAGTCTGGGTCTGGGAGAGAGCGGTGAGCTGAGTCTCTTATAATTTGATTTCTCCCGGCCGACAATTTTGTTCCCTCCCTCTTCCCGCGCCTTTTCACTTGCAAACAAAACCCTCTTCCAAAACCATCTCTTTCTCTCCACTTTCTTTCCTTAATCCATGGCGCCTTTTAATGTATTAGTTCACAAATTTGCACAAAAGGAAATTTACAGGAATTCCAACAAGACATGTATTGTGATGGGATCAGACACTTAATAGGGTAATAAGTTTAAGGTAATGTTGTATTTATGAATAACTCGATAAGTTTAGGTTTAGGGTCTTGTCGTTGATAAGTAAAGTATTTCTGAACCCAACAAAAGGTTGCATTCCTCCTGATAAGTCAATATTAAGATGGTAAAATATTTCTAACACTATATAAATTTGATATCTACAATGCAAGGTAGTCATAGGAGAGAGAATGGTCGATTCATAAAGACCTTTAAGATCAACTTTGGAGGCGAAACCCTTACCAAAGCCGAGCTTATAAAAATTCTATAATGTCTCAAACTCGTTCGAGAATTGGAGTTCAAGATTGTAGTTTTGCAAACAAACTCTCTCATGACACTCCCACCTGTTTCGGCTTTGGGACAACTCACATCCTAGTTACAACTACATTACAATCATTCACAAGTTGTTATCTTTTAATATAGATATTTATCAATTTATTTCATTGGTTGATGTATTAAGTAGGGATGCAATTTAAAAGTCTTGTTTTCTACCAAAAAAAGCATTTTCCTAATTAATTGAGATATTATTGTGTCGAACTTTAGGCATCAAGTGAATCTGCATCTCCATGACATAGTATTACATGCATTAACCATGCAATGCAGTAATGCTATATTAATGGTTGTGGCACGATATGTATTGGCAGATAACACAATCCCCTTAAACGAGTACTATGTTCCTCGATCACATAGAAGCATTCATTATACTATGACACCATTTTCATGATTGGAGAACAAAGCACCAACTAACATACATAACCTCCGCTTAAACATGACTACAAAATTTTGGCGTTTTTTCTGAATTTATTTGAATATTTAGATGATAACATCCCACATATACATGTCCACATCAAAAGGTATGCTTCTCTATTGAAGAGAAACATTTACGCATGGAGAATTACAAAAAAAAAAAAAAATTATAAATATAATTAAGGTTTAAACATAAAGACCTTGCCTTGCCTTCCCTATCCTTCCCTTCCTCCCCTCTTTTACTCCAAAAGCCTTCATCTCCCAATCAATCCCTTCAAATGCTAATCTTATCACAAGGAAGGATTGGCTAAATGGCGTAGAACCCAATCTTCTTCTCCTGTGGGAGATGATGAGACCATACAATGGCTGGCCGGCCAGCTGACGCCCAACCAAAGCTTTAGCTAAATCCATATCAAGTACGGAAATTAATGAAATGAAATGAAAGAGAGAGAGAGAGAGCGAGAGATTTGCTTTGCTTGCTTGAGAGAAGTGTCTATCTCTCTCTATCTTTCTCTCAGGTTCTAATTGGGGCTCCCAACGAAACCCACAAAGACCCATTGGTCATCTTGGGTTCTGCTCTTCTTCAGCAGTGGCTGCTGCTCTGCCTCCAATGGCGGTGGTGGAGGAGATGAACAGACTGAGGAAGAAGAGGATGAAAATGACCCTTTCCCTTTTGCTTTTGGCATTAGACTTCCCAAACCCCAAGAATCGTTTGAGCTGTCACAGCTCAGAAAAGCTTCTGCATCAATCACGCCGCTAGGGCTGCTTGGAAACGCCCCTTCATCATAATGGCGGTAGTACTTCCTCTTCTTCCCAACGCCATTGCCCTTTGCCACCTCCATTATCACCTCATAACAATCCTCCACCTTTTCCTGTTCCATGTACAACGAGACCCCATTAATACTTTGCTTAATCATCATGGACTAATTATTGTATCCGCAACATAATCAACCGAAGCATTAAATATATCCTGTTCAAAGAAGAAGAAGAAGAAAAGGGCAAATATAATACATGATTATGTTCCCCCCACCTTTTGTCCTTTACTTGCTTACACACCCGAGACAATAGTACCGATTAGACTATGTATAAATAATATATAAAACAGTAATGTATGTTACTTCTTTCTTCTTTATAGTACAAAACACAAACAGCTTCCTGGATCCCAGTTTTGTGCAAGCTTTTGCAGACCAATATTTGACTGGCGTTATCTTTAATAACTTGCAAATAAATAAACACAAATGGCTTTTATTCTATAGGGAGACAAAGGGTGGCGGGGGCATACCTTGGTGATGTTAAGGACAGTAAGCAGCTGAGTCTGATAGTCAATGGGGTTAAAGTGCTCGACTTGGTCAATAACGTGCATCATCGTTGCAGTTGCCAGAACTGAAGCCTTATATCTGACAGATCTTGAATCTACAAGCCAAACCCCAGAAGAAAATCCTCAGAAAACAGCAATGCTCAATACACAATGGATACAAACAATCAAAAAGTCGTCTTTCCTTTTTGTGTTTGCATAACATACAGAGTTACCAGCTTACCGGAGACGAGGCAGAGAAGGAGATGGTGGCATCGGTTGAGAAACTCCCAGTGAACATTGCTCTTCAGGCCAAGCCTCCGAACAATGTGATCCACAAACGAGATCGGAGTCACCGGATGCATCTTCCAGCCAAGGGCCGATAGCACTAGAAGTTCCATCCTTTGAATCGTCTTCGCCTCGAATACATATTTCGTCTCCTCAATCTGAAAAAAACCCACGAAGGAGAAGGCGAAAAGGGAGACATTACAACCAAATCCCGATGCTTTTGTAGCAAAAAACAAGAGTTTTATGTTCTGTGAGGCATTTGATCAAACACCTGGAGGTCAAGCAAGAGCGGGACATCGGTTTCCTCGACTTTGGCAGCCAGAGACAGGCAAGTCACCGCAACAAGCTGGATCATCCAGGGCTTATCTTTCTGGTAACACGGGGTTGAAAGGAAGCGATCGAGGTAATTGATAGCTAACACGGAAGTGAGAGTGGAAAACCCGTAGTGGGTGCTGACATTAACCATCCATTCCACAGCTCGCCGACGAGCAGAGCGTATAACAGGGCAAGTTTCCTTGGCAGGTCGCTTCCTCCGCTCCTCCTCGCTCCGTTCTTTAGAGAAAAGTGAACAGAGCTCTTCGTCTTCCCAGAACCAGTCCTGCTCCAGCAACAGAATCGGAGAAAGACAATGGCGAACCCCGGCGGTATCACTGGAATCCAAAACCTCGCCGTTGTCGTCTTCGTCTTCCCACCTCTCTTCCTCGCAGTAAAGGTCGTCGAGAGGGGATGAAGAGGGAGTGGAGCTTAGGTTATCATTGTCGGAGATGTGGAGATTGGGGATAAGAAGCGGCTGCATCCTCTTCATGGCAAAAGAAGAAGAGAGGGAAGTGGGGGTAATCATGTGCGGAGGTCATTATGTAAAGGAGTGGAAAGTGAAGGTGAGATTCGCCATTGTTAGGTGTCGAATGATGCCTCTGTTTTTCTGGGTAATGGAGAAGATAAAGGAGAGAAGAGGAGAGTGAAAGGAAAGGAAGAAGAAGGGTTGGGGCCTTGGGGGGGCTTTGAGTTTTCACGCTTGTCTCTTTTTGTGAGGAGTGTGGAGTGGAGCGACTTTTTATACGGAAGAAGCAGAGTGGAGGGACAGAGAGAGATTTTATAGGGGAAATAAAAATAGAAAACTGCTTTCGGTGTTGTGAGGTTGGCGGGCACAAACCAGAGAGCGAGAGAGAGAGGGCGCCTTCTTTAAAACTTAAAAAAATTCCATATATATTAAGGGTTAATTGAAAGGATGGTCATTGGGTTTACTAAAATCGTTCATGTTTGGTCACTGCAAATATTTAATTTTATTCATGGTCACTAAGATTAGTTCAAGTTTGGTCACTCTCCGTTAGTCTCCGTTAGTTTTTGCTGATGTAGCAGTCAACTATTATAGTTAACCATTAAATGAGTGACGTGGTCATTAAAAAAATAAAAATAAAAATAAAATTTACACCTCATTTTAGTAAACATGAACGGTTTTAGTAAACCCATTCAAGGAAATAATCTAAATATTTTGAGAAAAGGGATTAGTATAGAAATTAAACTAATTTTTTTTCCTATATTTTGATCCTGCTTTGTAACTAATCACTTGAGTTTTAACAATGATGCAATAGAAAGTATATATACAATTCAACCAAAAAAAAAGTATATATATATAATGGAGCGCTACTATGTAAAGTCTATATCATTTTATGGGTTTACTTGTGTTTGTCAATGAATTCATAAGAATTTTGACAAACTACCTATTTAGTGGCTAAAAAGGCTTTCTTATATTGATTAGCTATCGACCACCACATTTAATTATTTCATTTTCTATATACTTGTAAGCATACTGCATTGTACACCTGCCTATGACAAAAAAAATATATGTATAAATACAATGGGTTGAGGTTCCCGATTGATAGCCGATCTTCTACTATAAGTAAAGCAAGTAATTAAATGATTAAAAAAGTGAGATTGAGAAAGGATGAAACTAGTATAAGAAACTTTAGTTTATATAGTTTCATCTAGACGATCATATATACTAACTTATTAATGATAAAGCATTTATATATTCCACCTATTATGATGCCCATCTCTTCCACTGTTGTATTTCTAATCAAACTTTCGCCACATTGCAGCAAGATATTGTCTCTAGTAAATCTTTTGAAGTTGAGAAAGAGGAAGGAGTTGCTGAACGTCTAGAATAACAAGGGGATTTATTGTCCATACTCTAGAGATATTGGATTGGCCTTAATCGACCAAAATCCTTTATCTAGGAAAATCTTACATACCCCTAAGGTCCAATTGAGAAAAACTTAGATTGTGGGAAATCCCATATTCTCTAGACTATCCATGGGACTATTGGAGGAATAGCTACAATGAACAAAGTCTCATGCCCACTCGGAGTGCCTCCATGGGGAATCGTGGTTAAATTTGCGGCTTGCACGGATAAAGAAAACTTTTATTGTGTTGAAAGTGTAAAATCAAAGGGGTATTTGATTGGGTTTGCGATGATTGCTAGCCAACTTTGGCTCTTTTATTTTCTGTAAAATCTCTGCCGCTTTCTTATTCCAATTCAACCTCCTTATATAGAGTGCTGTAAAACCAAAGGAAAGATTGAGATTCACATAAGGTCATCCCAAATCTCATACGATCTGGAGAGATAATCTCCCTACACCTAACTTATATGAAAACAAATCAAATTGTACCAGCAACAATCAAATCCGAATGATATCAAAACAAATAAACAAATTCCGACATAAGAAACAGTGGTTCCTCATAGATGGGCTTTCCTCCCTTCAGCCACTTGGTGGGCCATCTTTCGTTGCATGCCCTGAATGGCTGGACTCCCTTGGTTTCTTCCTCTCACGAGCCTTCATAGGCTCATCATTGCCCGCCCCAGGAAGTATGGCCTTGTCCTCAATGCCAAAATCATCGAATCGCTCGAACAAGTTGGAGGTCAGCTCCCATGTGGCATCCTCGGAAGGCAGAGCACGCCACTTCACTAAGGACTCTTCATTGACCATGTTGCGACGAACCCAACGAGTGTCGAGGATTGTCTTAGGAAGGAGTTCAAGGGCACCATCATCCGCAAAGAGAGGGACGGTAGAGTTCAATGGAGTCTCCGTCGTAGAGCAGCGGCAGAGCAAGGAAACATGGAAGACTGGGTGCACTCGAGAGGCGGTTGGAAGGCCTAAGCGATAGGCGACTGGTCCGACACGCTTGGTGATGAGGTATGGCCCATGGAATCGGGTCACCATTTTCTGGGAGGCACGATGATAGAGTGAATTTTGGCGATACGGATGGATGCGCAATAACACTTTGTCGCCGACTTTGAAATTCTCATCTCTTCGACCGGTGTCAGCTTGTTGCTTCATCCTTGATTGGGCATTGTGCAAATTAATTTTGAGCTCCATAAGAACCTCGTACCTTTCCAGAAACGCCTGATCTACCTCATGAACTGCAGTGCCATCCTTTTGGTAAAAGGAATAGCTGGTGGAACACGCCCATAAACAACTTGGAACGGTGTCATGCCGATTGAGCGATGGTATGTGGTATTGTACAAGTATTCAGCCTAAGACAGAAACGTCATCCAACATCGTGGTTGCTGATGTGTGAAGCATCTCAGATATTGCTCCAAGTTGTACTTGATAACCTCTTTTTGGTCGTCGGTTTGGAGATGATAAGATGACAAAATAGGCGGCGATGTTCCTGACAAACGGAATAGTTCATGCCAAAAATGACTAACGAAAACGGGGTCGTGATCACTTACGATTGAACGGGGAATACCATGGAGTTTGACGACACCGTTAACAAAAGCATCAGCCACAATTTTTGTAGTGTATGGATGTGATAGTCCCATAAAATGGGTTGCCTTGGTCAGCCGGTCCACCACCACGAAGATTACAGTCTTCCCAGCCGATGATGGTAACCCGTCGATTAAGTCCATCGAGAGCTCTTCCCATATGAGAGTAGGGATTGGCAGCGGCTGAAGTAGACCTGCTAGTGCTAGTAATTGGAAATTCGCTCCCTGGCAGGTGTCGCAGCCAGCAACGAATCGTTTGACACTCTCCAACATGTTGGGCCAAAAGAATTGGGCTACCAGCCTCCTATAGGTGCGCAATACTCCTGAATGATCATCGGTGAGTGTGGAGTGATACTCTTGCTACAATTGGTTGATGAGAGGTGAATCTGGGGAGAGAACAAGTCACTCATCGTACAAGACCATGTCACCTTTCACCGAGAAGTGGCCAGGAGCAGGCGATCTCGCTTTTTCTTTGACAGTTTGTAGGTAGGGATCGTTGGTAGCAGCTTGTTTTAAAGATTCCCCAAGAGTCGTGAAGGGGTAGGAGATCCCGTGAAGCATATCCTCAGCATAATTGTGCCGAGACTCCTAATCTTCCCCTCACAGATCCTGATCCACCAGAGTCCCCGCGACATTTTCTTCGGAAGGAAGATTCGTGAGTTGGTGAAGTACGGCTAGGGACTTGAAGCATTCTAGTGGGTTTTCTAAATTGGGATCTTGCTTGTCACCAGGTGGGAGATGGACCACGACTTTGTGAGCCAAGGGAGCTGGAGTTGATGCATGTGCATGCCATTACTCCATAGTGGGCTTGTCGGTTTCTCCACAGATCAAAGGCCTGTGGGATAGAACATCCGCAGCTTGATTTTCCATTTTGGACTTGTACATGATTTCGTAATCATAACCCAATAATCTTGTTACCCATTTTTGTTGTTCCGGAGTCGTGATCCTTTTCTCCAACAGGAACCGCAAGCTATGTTAGTCGGTGCGAATATAGAATTTGTGACCAAGTAGGGTCTCCATAGTTGAACTGCAGCAATGACGACCATCATTTCCTTGGCATAAGCGGACAACCCTTGCTTTTGAGTCCCCAAAGCTCGACTCATGAAAGCGATAGGTCGATCTTCTTGCATTAAGACGACACCGAGCCCCTGACCCGACGCATCGGTTTCAACGATGAAAGGTTTGGTGAAGTCAGGCATCACGAAAATGGGAGTTGTGGTCATAGCCGTTTGACTCGTCCCGAATATCACAATTAATTCCAGCCTAAGATCCAAGTATAAACCTTATTCGGGTGCAATACAGAACAAGTATGTTTAAATATTGACTCGGGCCGGTCCGTATACCGCTACTTCAGTCATTTGAATCATTATCTAGCGGATTGATTTTGGTTGAAAAGTTTGCTAATTAAAGTAAAACAAGGCAAAGTAAACGGTTTTGAAAGCTCTTTGTGGGAAGGATCACTCGGGTGTTGCTTCCCCCTAACTACTACCATGGTATGTGAATCGAAGCGATTGCTAAGGGCAATATAGTCAAAATCGCGCTTTAAAACTTAAAAACTTACGATTTTACGTTTCTAGGTCACTAAAACGCTTCTACACAAAATATCAGTTCTATAACTTTTGTAGTTAAAAACTACGCTTTAAAACTTAAAAACTTACGATTTTACGCTTCTAGATCACCAAACGTTTCTACGTAGAAACTCGCTTTTGACTACATTGGCTAAGGGCAAGGTGACCGCAAACCACTAAGGGAAGCAAATATGGCCGTAGACCACACTCTCGATTGCCAAACCGAGGGATACATTATAGGCTCTTCAAGAGGCCTCTCGGTTAAGGCAATCGAAGGTTGACTTACTCCCTCTCTCAAACCAAGGGTTGGTCGGCTTAATCACACTTAACCAAATTATTTAATCCAACATCAAGGTTTGCCCTAAATTAATCTAGATAGGTGAATTAAAAAGCCATAGGAATCCCAACTCAATTGAGCCTCCCTTGAAAGGGGGTTTTCCCTCTCTAATCTAGGTTAAATTGGTCAATAAGATTGCTATGCACAAACATGCACAATCAACATGAAAATACCTCAATCATGGAATTAAACAACACCCATGAACAATCATTCAATTCACATAACAGAAACTACATGGAAAATAGTTAGGGTTTCACTACACCCAAGTGAAAAAGGAAACGACTCCATGCTAGAAAGGGGAGAAACACAAGGGGAAGAGGTAGAAACCAACATGGAGATGCTGCTAATCTTCTTTGCACTTGTGTTGAACTTCTCTTGAGGAGAATCTTCCCAATTCAACACTTGGAGCAAACCCTAACCTTCCTTCTCCTTTGGTTCGTTCTTTCTCTCTCTAAAAGCTGAAGAAGAAGAAGACACTTTCTCACTCTTGGGCTCTTCCTCCC